TAATTTCTTTTGGGCATTTAAGTATCTTAGGGCATGCTAGTTAGACAATAAGACAAACTCTTATGGCAAAAGGTAATATCGTCAATACTAAGACATTGCACAATCACATATAATTCTTTGTCGTAGATAAAATAATGTTGTTTTGCATCATTGAGTTTCTCACGAGAAAAGGCAATAGGCTGACCCTCTTAACTAATAATTCCTCGTATGCTTGTACTAAAGGCATCACAAGTGACTTTAAAGGGTTCACTAAAATAAGGGTTCACAAGTGACTTTATAGTAGCGGTGGTTCGTTTTCATGTTAGCAAAAGCTTTGATAGTATCTAGGGTCCAAGAAAACTCACCTTTCTTTAGGCAATTAGTGATAGATGCCATGATAAAACTAAACCCTCTATGAATCTCCCATAGAAAGAGAGTAATTCGTGAGAACTTTGAACCTCATAAATGGTTTTTGGCTCATGCGCTTATAAAATGATGCAAATCTTTTCTGGATCAGCGGCAACATCTTTGGTAGAATAGGACATGGGTTTGCATGAACGAACACTTTTTAGATTGACATAACGCTTAGCAACTTGAGGGTAATAAGAACCTATCGAAGATGTTCTAAGTAATTCTCTTTGGTTTTACTAAAAATCAAGATGTCATCAAAGTAGACTACACCAAATTTGCCTATGTAAGGTTATAAAATTTGATTCATGAAGCGTATGAAAGTATTTGGGGCATTTGATATACCAAATGGCATGACTAGCCATTTGTATATGCCGTCTTGAGTTTTGAATGTTGTTTTCCATTATCACCAGGTCTAATATAAATTTGGTGGTATCTGTTTCTCGGGTCAAGTTTTGACAACCAATTAGATCCATCGAGGTCTAGCATATCCTCAAGTCGAGGAATTGAGAAGTGATATTTGATTGTTATTTTGTTGATCGCTCGACTCTCAACACACATCCTCTGAGACCTATCTTTCTTATGAGTTAACAAGGCAGGGACAACACAAGAATTGAGGTTGTGTCGTACATGGCCTTTAGCCAAAAGTTCTTCAACTTGCTTGTTTAACTCGGTTCTCTCCTCAGGATTCATTCTATAATGTGGGAGATTAAGGAGCTGCAATCTTGGGATAAGGTCAATGGCGTGTTAGATTTCCCATAAGGGTGGTAGCTCACTATGTAATTCTAAGGGTATGACATCAGAAAATTCATCTAAGAAGGATTTGACCTAAGGAGTTAAGTCGGGAATAGTGCAAGGGTTAGGAATTTCTCTAGCAATGATGTCATATAAAATTTGTTATTTAGGCTCTATTTTAAAAGATTTAGGATCTAGCAAGTGGAGTCCCTTGATAGTTCGGGCTTGTGGAAGAGACTTGGGTGTTCCTGTTTTATTTTTTCTAATGGTTTTACTGATCGTAAGATAATGTTTTTGCCTTTGTATTGAAAGAAATATGTGTTCTCTCTCCCATAATTAGTAATATCAAGGTTATACAACCAAGGCCTAGCTAAAAGAATGTGCGCAACATCCATTGGTAGGATGTTACAATAAATCTTATCCTAGCAATCGCCTATTTTAATTGGTACCAGACATCTTTCGATCACGGGTAAAATAGTTTTGTTAAACTAGGCTACTTTGAATAGGTCGGATGTACCTTAAGTTTAGTCTTTTGATAGCAGATTTTAAGATTACGTTTATAGTGCTACGTTCATCTATAACTAATTTACAAGTTTTTTTTCCGCTTTGGATGAAAGTATGGAAGACGTTTATCCTCTTCCATTTATTGGAATCACTAGTAGTAGAGAGAATAATGCGGACAACGTTAACATGGGCATCTTCAATTTCTAGTTTGTCTTTGTCACTTGAGTAGGCTTCAGGTTCAACTATTTGGTATGCTTCCTCGATTTGATCCTCTGGTTCTTGTCTTAAGGTAAGGGTACATTGAGGACAACAAGAGGTAATGTGACTTTTATTATGGCAATAGTGACACTGAATTTAAGACAAACTAGTTTGAAAATTCATAGTTGAACAAGTTGGACAATTCATGGTTGGATCAGGATTGTTGCTAGTAGTGGGGATTTTTGGCTTGATAGAGCTACTACTTGGGGTAGATTGGGAAATAGTTCTATGTGCTTCTCAATCTTGGGGTCGAGAGACCAAGAAGATGCTTGACGAATTGGATAAAGTTTAATGTGCTTCTCAATCTTAAGGTCTCATCGAGAACTCTATAGTGTCAGGGAAACTAAGGGAGACTTCTCATTGGATGTCAAATCTCAACCCATTAACAAATCTTCAGATAGTGATGATTTGGTCATCTTCTATTTCACACATAAGTAAAAGTTCCTCAAATTGGACTAAATACTCTATCACACTAGAATTCAATTATTTTAGGTTTAATAATTGTTGAACCAATTGGCTTCGAAAGTAGGTGAGGAAATATTTTTCCTTAGTTTTTGTTTCATGACTTTCCATTAAGTGATGGGAGGCTCTCGACGATGTTCGAGACTGTGGTGAACATGTTGCCAATATTTCCTAGTGGATCTTATCAGTTTCATTTTTGCAAATAGTACACGTTCAATATCAATCATTTCATACCACTCAAAGTTGTCCTCCATGCTATCTAACCAGTCAACAAATGCATTTGGGTCAAACCTACAATCAAAGTTCGACACATCCACTTTGACTCTTCTAGCTATTTCCTCCAGATTATTAGCAAATCAAACTCATTGGCCCATTACTCAGGTTTGTGGATTTCTAGCAGGTTCTAGGAATTCATCTCTAAGGTCAAGAGCTTGGTCATTAGGAATTGTTGGAGCATGATTGTGAATAGGTGCCTTATAGGTGGACCTAGGATTTGTTCAAACTGGAGCTTGGGGAGTAGTTAAAATTTCCTGATTTGAAGCTATGGATTGTGGAGAATGGATTTGTTGCTTAACTGACTCATCAACTTTTTTATTCATGGGTCATTTTTCAACGTGTCGGAGAGCTCTTAGGACTTGGCTCATTTGGTCATATAACTGGTTTAACATTGTGTCATGATCTGCTAGCTTGGTCCTAAGGGTGTCTACCTCACTCTATTGGTTTAGGAATTCATCAGGATTAGTTTGGTTTTTATGTCGTCAAGTCATGAATCTAATGCTATTAACAAATTATCTTTTAGTAGTGAGGTTGTTAATTATTGCAATGCACAAGGTAGAAATACAATGTTTTAAATGGTTCTCTTTTTTTTTTCCCACACTTTTTGTTTTTTGTTTTTTTTTTTTTTTTTTGAAAAACTCTCAAGGGTTTAAATTTTAGAGGTATTGTAGTTGTAGCTAAAGGGGAGCGAGAGGGTGATTAATATAAAAAAAAAAGAAGAAAATGGGCGGAGAAGTGATGAAAACCACGATTTAATGAAATGTACTATTTTTCTTTTCGACATAGAAATATTGGTAAAGTTTTTGCTTGGCATTGAGAGCTATGTGGTCCACCAGTTCCGTAGGGATAATCGTCCTAAAGTCCAACTCCACATGCAAGGGATTGACGTTGGGAGTGCAAGGATTCTTGAGTGTTGATCGAAGCTTTTGCTGCTAGTTGGAACACAATAGGATACAGGGCAGATTTCTTGATGGGTTCTAATACCAAACTGATATAGAAAAGTAGAGAGAAGAGAGAAATAGAGAGAAAGCAAGAGAGCAAGATAGCAAGAGAAGAATGTAAGAGATTAGGAGAGAGAAGATGCAACCTTTTTTTTATTTTAAATCTGAAGTATTTGATCTATTAACAAGCTATACTATTTATAAGGGTTTAGGAGTCTTGATACAATTAATGAAGACAATGATTCTCAAGAGTAATCTCCTAGGGAATTACTATGCCTTTTAGAAATTCAAAATATGATTTTTAAGATACCTAAATAGTAAATGAGTACAAAGACCAAAAGACTTTTCAATTTTCAACACAGCTCTTTTAATTTTTAGGGTAACTAATTGATGACTTTTTTTGTTGATATCTTTGCTTAGAATAATTTTTTTAAAAATCCTTTTGTAAAGTTCAATGGTTCTCCATCACCTCCTACCCTTTTAAGCCTCCTAATTATCAGCCTTTTAAAATACCATTTTTCATGAACTTCTGATTAGGAAATTACCTCACTGAAATTAGAGGAAATTTAGCTGAATAAATCATTTGATCTAAAAACCTAAGAGATTAGGAACAATTTACAGCTGATAATTAACTAAATAAATCACAATCACATGAAGCAGACCTTACTAATATAGAGCAAAAAAACAGCTGGAGGATCCAAAAAGTAGAAAAGATTATCTGGATCCAGCTGACTCAACCGTGGCTCCATCTACTTTTGACTCACTTTGGACCTGAAAAACCAAACCCAATATGATTCTGTTATCTTAATTGGGTTGTATGTATGCAACTCTTTGAAAACCATCCCTCCTTAGATATTGAATCCTCTCCAAGAATGTCCAAGAATTTATCGATGCTTATTTGTAAATTTAGAAGTTCTTGTAGATTGCTACACGTAAGACACTAATATTCTAGTGTTAAGGACTCAACTTATGATATCTATAAAGACTAGTTGGCAATACTGCCTGTGCGGATTTCTCAGTAACCCGGCAACATAACAAAATCAACATAAATATAACATATAATACATAGAAACTAATTCCAAGGCTCTCGAGGAGTTTGGTATGATGTCTTAACTGACCTAAAGAAAACCTAATTAATCTTATATCACATCACAAAGGTTTGCTGCATGACCTAACCGTTGCCAACACCGAGCTTTTCTCTGTGTTTTCCTTTCCTATGTGGTGTCTGCCGTTATCTAGAGATCATCTTCGTTTATTTCACACTTGTGTTACGACACTGTGTGCGATGCCAAAGGCTACAATCCTCTTTTTTCTGGGTTTTACATACATTACTTGCTGCAGTCCTCTTATTTGATCGGCTAATCCTTATTTACGTTTTTTTTTTTTTAACTGTGGATTTGGCCCGTGGACCCAATGTTTTTTCATTTTCTCTTTCAGGTAAATGCTCGACGTATTTGACGTTTATCCTGTTTCTTTCCTGAAAGGCAGCTGCTTCACTTACAAGATGGTCATACTCTTGCAGTTTATGGTGTACTCCGAAGAAATAAGTCGCGGAGCAAATTGGTCTTTTTCTTGCATGGTTTTTGGAACCTTGTGATATGTACGTACTATCTGAGATGATTAACTTGCTCCCATAATGTTGACTTTTGAGATCTTCTAAGGTTGACCATCTCCTTGAGTTGGCATTAGGAACAAAATTCACAAGACAATTTTTGTGTTGTGAAAGTTATGCAAACAGATTTATGCTTCATAAGACTATTTTGTTTCTCCTATGATCTTCCGTGGCATATGGCATGCACATCAAAGCTACCAAAGAAACGTCATGGTTGTGAGTTAATTTGGCTGTTCTTTCTCTCTGGATTCTTTGAACACCTCATGCCACAAGAGAAGAAACAGGTGTTGTGTTCTTCATGTCCATCGAGATCAGGTTGTGCACAGAAAATGCTTAGAGCAAAAACAATGAATAGGAGAGGATTATAATAGCGCTCTTATTCCCTTCATTCTGATTCTGGATCGTCTACAGTTTTTGCAGGTCAACTGGAGGATGAGCCAGGGTCTGGTATCCCATACCAGCGTTCGAGCTCGACACCATCCAAGAGCTCACTCCAAGACCACCCATCATGGCCCATCGGATCTCCCGGAAGCCTCTCACCCACAGCCGCTGTCGGCGTCGACGCCAGAGAGCCCGAAGGACTTTGGATTCCGCTACCGCCGCTGCTGTTGGCTTTGCATCTACCACCACTGCTGCTGCTGCTGTCGATGACATCGTCGACTCTCACGCCGGTGATGAGGAACCGCTGGTGCGACGATCCACAGGGCTTGGCTGCGTGCGTCGTCGCGTCGCACTGCCGGCACAGCAACGCCCGGTCCTCCAAGCAGAAGAAAAACCCAGCTTTCTCCTGCAGAAGATCATTACCGTATGGCATGACATTACATTTCTTCGGCAAAGCTAATCGATGCAAGCATATTATTTTGCTTTCTAGCACTCTTGTGACAGGAAATTGCTTTTGGCCTAAACAAAGTGGAGAGCTTTCTCTCATTCCCCAGTGAAGAAGGTAAGAAGAATAAATGCTGCGCACTGCCCTCTGTTCTATAATTATGAGAAAGTGGAGATCTGATGAGGAGTGCAAAAAAAAAATAAAAAAAATAAAAAAAAAAATCGATTGAAACAGCGAGAATTTAAATGCCAATTTTGGTTCAAGAAAGATGGATGGCTACCTGCTGCCTAATCCAAACAAAATAAAAAACATCAACTCTATTGAATTAAAGAGTATTTTAGGCTTTTTAAATTTTAATAATAATATTATTATTATAATGATTATGATTAATTATTATAATTAACCATAGATTATTGGATGGATGCTAAAGAGCCATTTGAACAATCGAAAGGTTATATATAAAAAGGTTATATGCTAAAGGCATTTGGAATATGTTAGAAGTCAAAAAGAAACGTCTTATATTGGAAAGAAGTATTATTACACATATGACTGACTACAGCAGAAATAAAAATAAAACACAAAAAGAGAAGAGCAGAGCAGAGCAGAAAAAGGGAGAAAAAAAATATGAGAGGAAATAAGCGTGATAAATCAGAGCTACAGTCCGTCGATAGAACGGCTTCGGCAAAGACGACAACGACGTCACCTTGCAGACATCGCAGGCGGGGATGTTGTCAGCCGAGGTCGAGGAAGGATGCGGGGAAGGGGAGGAGGAGCCCCTCGGGAGCAGCAGAACTCGGCGGTGCTTCCCCGCGACCTTGTTGGCGGCGTGCACCTTCTCGTCGCAGCTCCTGCAGAGGGCGGCTTCGTCCGCGAAGCACAGCACCGCCGCCGCCGCTCTCTCGCAGACGTCGCACTGTATCTTCATCCTGACCCGAATGCCCCGCCTCCCTCCCCCCGTGCTGCAGGTTACGCTACCAAATAGCAACGCACGTCACTCACACGTACATGAATGGGCAGCCTAACAACTCGAGACAAGCAGGAACAATCGAAGAGGTTGACGGCCCGATCAGCAGATTTCTCACGCATTATTCCATCGATCCTAAGAACTTTCAGGTGAAGTGACTACGGAGAGAGAGAGAGAGAGAGAGAGAAGTAGTACCTCCTCTTACGTACGTGAAGTCCAAGGGTGGTGAAAATCTTGTTCTGGAGTTGCACTGGTCTTGTCCTATGGAGAGAGAGAGAGAGAGAGAGAGAGAGAGAGAGAGAGAGAGAGAGCTTTGATTGGCGGTCTTATACTAGAAAGAGGTGGGTGTGGGGGTTCAAAGGAAAGAGTGCGGTGGGAAAAAGTAAAAGGAAAAGAGGCAGCCAAAGAAAGCTGAGGAGATATTTTGGTGGATTGTGCGAGAGCACTATGATGGTGGCAGTGGCCGAGAGGATAACCCACCTTCTTTCCCTATAATATTTCTCATCAGCATTCAATAAGATGTGGGGTTAATTAATGGCCTCGGAAACATGACAGGTTAAACTACACACCTGCATGTACTCTCTCTCTCTCTCTCTCTTCACATATACTGACAGCCCTCCTCTATAGCTCTCTGAATGCAAAGCAGTAGATCTCAGGCATCGCATTTCAAGAACAAGGTAAGAAATCAGGTGACAAAAGCACCCATCCGAAGAAGCTGACTGCCAACGTCCGGAAACAATGAACCATCAACGATTTGCTGCTTGCAGAAGAAGAAGAAGAAGAAGAAGAAGAAGTTTTCAGCATCGAAGATGACAGAACATATGTGAAGAGATATCAGATGGACTCAAATGCAGAGGCCAGTCTGCTGATTGGTGGGCAACTAGTACAAGGGACACAGTTGCAGTGGCGACGGCAGCTGCCGGACTTGTCTTGGTGCTATTAAAGACCATCAGCATCAGGACCACTGCGTTTGGCTAACATGCATTTTAACTTAGCTTCTTGGGACATTACCGCTCCTTTTGTTGGTATTGCTGTTGTTTGCATCTGACTGGCTTGGCAAGCAACATCTCATCATCTTATCTATTGGACTTCCACACTAATCATTCAGAAATATTGGAATAGAGACATCAAAATCATTCGGAAATATAGTTATAAAATTCGGATCGAACAGATCAATTGGCTTGTTCGCTAAATATTTAAAAGATTTAAATACTCTCAACTTTAAAGTTTTCGATTCTCTTTTGTTCTCTCTTATCATTGCCCATATCATCTTCTTGAATTGTATTATATATATATTTTTATATTATTATTACTAATGTATTTTATTGTTTGATATAATATATATTATTTAATAAAATTGTTAAATGTCAGAGTCCCTCGTATTGATGGATTCCTACTTATAACATTTGTATACTTAATTTTTAGGTTTTTCTTTTCCATTCAAAATGTAATCCGTAGATAGGGAGATATGAAGATAGGGAGATAGGAAGATAAATTGACGATCACATATTTGGTGGATGTGTCACGCACACTTGATTGATACAATATGCAATTCTTTGTTCTATAAGATCGATGCAACGCTGATAAAGATATAAATATTGTGTCAATAGATGAGCCCATTCGATCGGAACGATGATCGACAAATCTGACGTCAAAACAAGTTGTTATAGTCTTGAGTCAAAACGAGAACTTTCCTAAAGAAATAGTAGAAAATATCGATGATCCAATTAAAATATATAGACTTATACAATTAAGATGCAGTTCGATGCAAATCCTCAAAAGAACATGAGATAGAATAAAATAGTGATTTGACTATGCAATCTAAGAATCCAACTCGCACAAAATCTCAATCCAATAGGGCCTAAGAAACGGCTAAAACAGTGATTGGACCAACTCAAACACCAAAGTTCAATGCATCTCCCATGGGTACAAAAACCCTTTTATGTTGAAGAAGAAGCAGTTTGATGCTTCATCAATAGTCGAATGACTCTAAAAGAACTCAGAATGGCTCCACAACACCATCAATGAATGGCTGGCTCATAAGTTGCTTGGTAGGGAAGTCTGTGTTTGTGTGATGGTGGATGAATCATCAGAAATTTCCATAGCTTTCTGCAATGAGTGGGGAGATCAGCATAAACCCTTACTAGCCGTGGAGGGTCACCCCTCACCATCTCAATGTTTGCAGACTCAAATCACCTGTGGTCCTCCTCCTCCTCTCTCATGAATCATGAGTTGGGAAACCACATGCTCCTTCCACTTGATCTCACCAAAATGCTTCCATGCCCAAAACATCTTGTTCCTTAATAAGATCTAACTCACATGCCATCAAGCTTTTCTACTCTCTCTCTACCAACATGAGGAGTTCTGTACTTGAAGATTTGCAGAAGAGATCCAGTCACCTTATCCATAACTTTCATCATTCGTGAAAGGCCAAGAAGAGCAGGAGGAGAATAGTAAAGAAATCATTCCTGATCTAAAAGTTATTTTGGACTTGAACCCCAAAATGAAAGCTATTTTTCTTTCTTTCTTTCTTTTTCTACTGGTTATATTGTAGTGATTGTAGAGTTTAGGCACATCCAGGATAATGGGAAGATACATGCAGAGTGCTCTCTTTCGCCGACGTAAGATTCAAAGAGAGTCAAAGTATATAATCTTATCTCTATTTTCGAGACTATCGATCCCTATATGTTGTCAACATGGGATGATGATATAAAGAAACGATTTTAACATTATACAAAGTCTCACCCACTGTGTATAATAATAAGGATAAATAAGATATCCATAAATTCTATTTAAATTAGAGTCCAATTTCAACATCAATAGCTCGTTTTAGCATCCAAATCCAACTCAATAGTTAGTACTTGAACCCGTATGATCTAAAGTAAAAGATACTCACTCAGAATCTACTTTAAACAGGTTGGATAGAACAAAACGATCATACTCTTTGAACTCAGCTCGAGTCTTTATTTTCTTATAGGAACTCAGATTAAAAGGCCTCAAATTTAGCTTGGATCAACATGAATCCCTAAAACTTGACCTACAGTAGTATCTCGAATCAAAAGTCGGTGATGAAGTAATGAAATGAGGAAAATTGATAAGCTATCGAAAGATTAACCGATTAAGCCTTGACCTAGCAGCCGTTGGAGATCTTCTTGTCACTTCTCATCCATAATTAAAAGGAAAAAAAAGAACGATGATGAGATTGTTCCTGACATTATGCCTCACGTCACAAAAAAGGTTCCAAGCCTGTTCTTGTCATCCAATTAATGTTTAGTTGGGAAATGGTAACAAATCAAGCTCGGAGAGAGTGCGGGCATGGATATTGCTCCTGGTCGGGTGGGGGCGGATGGGTAGATGATGATGATGATGTTGATGAAACCCGAGTCCGGACCCATGACGGGCCACATGGGTCAATGTCGAGGGACCACATTGGCATGGGCAATAACTATGCCCACGATTGGAGGCACGAGTGAGATGGACATGGCCACCTAATCCGAGTGAGATGAGGCACCGGTCGCTGTCCGAGGGATGGGCACCAGATTTGGGTCGCTTTCCCACTCGGCATCATCTCTCATGTCCTCCCTCGTAAGAACGAATCTTGATGCTTCGTCTCTCCCCTTCCCTTGCTCTTGTGTGTGATTACTAGGTTTTCCCATGTCCGAGGGTCACATTGATGATGATCTATTTCCACTTATGTCATCCGAGGCCCATGATGTCTTGTCAGGAATCCGATGATAACATCAAATCTTTTATTTTATTTTATTTATATTCTTATATTGGTGAATGAATGAACCTACCAGATAGAGATACATGTCATGATGTATTTGTTTTATTAGCCGGTGATGCTGAGATAAAACTGATGTGAACTTGGATTGTGGAAATAAAACTATGTTTTAATGCACGAAATATTTGTCAGAGCAATGCTAAAGAGAAGAACTGATCATGCAGATAAGATGGCTGAATAAAAAGCTTCTGTACCAAATGATTTAGGTATCTTAATAATTTGAGATTGGATTGGATGACCTTTAGTGTTAAATGATAATTTTCGTAACATAATTATTAGATCATTCATGTGATGGATTTCAGGTTCGAGTCCATGAGAATAACACTATGCATGGAGTTTGATATAATACTTATATTATGAAAAGAATTAAAAATATGGTAGCAAAATTACCTTCCAGTATGATGTGCTCTCCTGATGTAACTCATCTCTTCCGGATTGCTCACTGAAAACACTGAAAAATTGGATTGAAGGTTAGAATACATGAAAGCACGAAAAAAAGAAAAAAAAAGTTTCTCTGTATCAATCAGATCTCATCTGAAATAGGAAGAAATACATCAACCTGCAGGAAGTGAACAGTCAATGGCTGGAGTTGGTTGAATCTCTGGCATCTGAAACATCATCACTGGGGGCGCCTTTTCTGCAGATTATTGCCCATTGAATCATCAGATAAATCATTCACAACGTTGCAAACACTTGCATCTTCTTCATGGGAATTGCTGACCTCTATCCATATTGCGAGTTCCTCCACAGGAGCTTGCATCAGTTCCTGCATGCATCAGGAATGAGTGACATATAAGCATCAGCAGAGGCCAACACAAGTATAATCAATAAGAGAATCCACCTGTTAGTGGTTGCAATGAGATATCCCAATCCTGAATCCAATTGTGTCTACTTTCTTTGGATTTCTGAACACAATCTTCTCCTGCTATCACAGAAAATGTGTTCTTGAAGTCAATCCAGCATGCCTGTGCAACTGCTACATCAAATGTGGGGCAGTCTGAGGAGATGAATCTACTGGGCGTTTATGGAATATTCAGATAGTGAAAAAACAATATATATATATATATATATTATTACAGATAATTAAGTTCATATAATAAATAAAGGTTTCAAGAAATAATAACCTATCTTGACCTAGTAATAGAAAGCTACCATTACATTACATCTGCGACCATACATAATGCCACAACAAAGATGCATTTAAGTGTTACCCTAGGTTTCCATGTTGACTACTGCCGCCAATGGTGGCTCTGCCATGGTGGGCAAGTACTGGAGCCAGTCCTTTGCACAAAAAAGTGCTTCCACTGTCTCTGGGCGTAAAGAACTTCGATATTCATCAAGCACTCTGCTCCCGGTTCCTGAACTAAATATAGAACAGCCTGTATCGACCATTGATACTGGAATAGCTAAAATATCCCGAGCCATCTTTGAGAGTGTAGGATACTTTAGGTAGTTGAGCTTCCACCAGTTCAAGATATCAAACTCTTGAATCCGTGGCATAAGTGACTCTTCCAAATACTGATCTATCTCTGACTTAGATGACTGATTCACGGCTAACTCAGACAGATACATATCAAAGTCTTGAAGCCCATCCGCCGCAGGCATTGATGTTGTGGGCACATTTTTGTCATCGCCATTGGCATGGTTGGCCTCTCCTTGGTCCACATAAGCCAGAGTTTGAGGAAGTGGCTGTTCAACATATTCGAGATAGAGCTCATGAACACTGTCATCAACCAACTTAACATATCTGGCAGAATCTGCACCATAAATCTTTGAAAAGCTGAACTCAACTAGCTTCATCTTAAAACGAGGATCCATAACCACAGCAAGAGCCAAGACAAGGCTGCAATCTTTCCAATATTTGTCAAATTTCTCGTGCATCTCTTTAGCTATGCTGCTAACCATAGTGTCCTCACTCAATGTTGCATTAGTCAGCTCCGCCTGAGTTTTCCAAGCTTCATGAAAAAATATATTTGCAGTTAGATCTGCTGCTGCCATGACAACATTTGCAGAGTCGTATAGAAGTTTTAGGTATGTACAAACAACGTCCACCTTCTTCCAGTCATCAGCTGTTGGAGCTTCATTGTAATTATCGTCACAGGTTTCCAAGAAATTAAATGCTTGTTTATATTCCAAGGCAGCTACTAACATGAGGTAAGTTGTGTTCCATTGTGTTGTGACATCAAGAGATAGGGCCTTCGTGCTGAGAATTTCAAGTTGTAAGGCAATCTCAGCAAATTTTTCCTCACGGGCCGGAGATGCTTTCACAAATTTTATACTTTCACGAATGTTATATATGATACCATGAATTGAAGCAATCACATCTTCCGCAATAACATTCAGGATATTGGCGTAGCAACGTACAACAAACAATTGTCCTTTCAGCATAAGCATGTTTTTATTGGAGAGGTGATCCCTTAGATTTGCACTATAGATGTCATGTGATGAGCAAGTGTTGTCTAAAGTTATGGTGAACAACCTACTCTTCATATTCCAATCTGAAAGGCTAACACTGATGGCTTCGCTAAGAGCATTTTCTGAATGGGGAGAAGATACCATCATGAAGTTAAGCATTCTCCGATGCAACTTCCACTCGCTATCAATGAATTGCCCACAAAGGCAAATGTAGCCAAGAGTCTGACTGGTTGTCCACAGACCTATTGTCAGGCTAATCCTTCCAGGCATAGTTCCAAAGACCTGTATGAGGTTTTGTTTTTCCTTCTGATAGAGTGATAAGACCTCTCCTTCAATGGTATTGACATCGACCATCCTAAATAGCGGTTGGAGACTATGAACAAAAGCAACGAAAGCAGGGTGTTCAACCATGTCGTGAGGGTACTCATGCACAATGATCATCTTTGCAAGATTTACATAACTTTGATCCTGGTCGAATACACTTGAAAAGCCAGATGACCTATAGCGTCTTTTGGGTGGATCAAGGGTATCTCCATCAACTTTTGCAAGTGCCAGTTTGTTCTGAAATTTTATTTTGGGGCAGGAACCTAAGGCAATATGTCTCTTGAGGTGGCTGGTGCCGGCTATCTTCGACCCACTACTGTATGCAAAGGTTTGTTTGCAAAGCTTGCAGCAAGCTCGTGTACATCCTCCAGATACTTCTTCAATAGTGAAGTGCTCCCAAACTGACGATTTCTTTCTCCCGCGTCTTGAAGTTGGTGGTGTTGTTTCTGTTTTGACTGGTTCAGTATCATTACCTCCGGTCATGCTACATTAAGCATACATATAATATAAATTAAAATGTATTAAAGCAAAATGCGACCAAGGGCTCTTCAATATTGTCTGGATATGCTTAATCAAAACCAAAGACAAAAGATGGGAAGTTCATTATCAAACCATTACCCAACTACAAATTGGACAACAACAAAATTGGAAATGCTGCAATTTAAGGATTCTGATTAAAAAAGGAGAGCACCCTGTAATTATTAGAAGTTATATGGTACATGTACCTCATCAAGTTCCAAATTGCATGCATACCACTGCAGCGTTCACAATTGCATGTAAACCATCATAAGGTAGATTTTGTACATGTACCCTCAAAACATCAAAGAAGTGGTCTTGTAATGTATCATCACTCACAAAAAAAGGAAGAAAGCAAGAAATCAAAATGTTTCTGAGAATGCACATAAATATGTGCTTTATAGTGTATAAAAGAAAAGGAGGAAGTCTTAAGGCAGAAATCAGTAGGAATTATAGAAACCTACAGAATAAACAAATGCATGCTCTAAACCAAACAGAATATGCACTTATGAATCCCACACTAAAAATTTGATATCAGCATAATTAGGTCTTTAGGGCCTTTTGTAAGGTTGACAAAGTAGCCATGGGTACAATACAGTTGCCGTGGGTATCTTCTTTATCTTATGTGAAATGGTAAAGTGAGCAAAGTAAACCAAAATATGAAATAGGAAAATTGCTGGAGGATAATTAGATGATCTTTAATGAAATCGTAAGGCTTCACTCCAGACTCCTCTCTAGACATTGATCTTCTGAGTTCCACCCTTGCTGTTAAATTTTGCATCCGAAAGAAATGAGGGGAAAAAAAGCTTCAACTTTGGTGAGTGCAATCTTTCTTGCCTAAAATGATGAGAAAGGGGAAAGAATGGAGGAAGATGTTTTCTTACCTACCAATCTCAGCCTCCCCCATTTCCGTGTCTGAAGCCCTGGATTGGAGGCAGAAGGTGCAGGGGAAGAGGTACAGGAGGTGGGTGGACTGCTGCACAAACAAAAGGTGGATGTAGAACATCCATGATAGAGAAGAGGGGAGAGGAGGAAGAGATGTGGAAACCATTGAGGGGCTGGTGAAACTAAAGACATAAGAAGCAGAGAACGAATTGTAGGTTAGGGGGTTTTCATTGGATGTTTTTCATGGCAGAGCTGAGGTTGGGATTCACCATGAGGATCAGAGACTATTATTTGGGCCATTCCCTAGAAGCCCAATCAAGGTTGAGATTCCCATAAAGTTTGAGCTGAAGTTGGCCCTAAACAACATAATTCAGAATCATTTCAAACAACAAAAAAAGTGAATGTTGTTCTGTATGAGAAGATTCTGACAGAAAATGCAGTCTAGAAGGTTAATTGACAGATAAAAAAATCAATTCAACTAGGTTATCGCTATAGTTTAAGAAGCCAGTTAATCATGACAACCTGTATAACAAAGTCTAGATAAAACAATAACTTGGCAAACATCAAACTGGATACAACTTAGACACCAATAGAAAATTAGATTAAGTTAGAAAAAGAAATAATAATGTATATGAATCTTGTTAATTGTTATCAGAAGCAAGGTTCGCTGTATCGTAGTGTACCACTCGGTATGGGTGGTACATTGGTATGCCCCCATGTATCATGTGTCAGTATGCTCGGTATGACTCGATACAGCTCGGTATGTACCATACCGAGAGCAAGTTGGTACATCGGTACAGACTGGTAAGGCAAACCATGATCAGAAGCATCAAAAGAATTAATGTTCAACAAAGCAAATACAAACTATGCATATCAAAGAGTATTTACATCCAAAGGTTGGTGAAATAAATAGTAAGCATGCAACTACAACAAGCATGAATATATGGACTTATAGTAATCATATAAATCAAATCTATTTGCAATAGGCTTTCTACAAAAGTGTATGTAAATTGGCACTCAATCACAACAAAAAATTGTGTATAAAGAATAACATTAACTACATTTATGTAGTGAAAATACTACATGCTTCCCAAAGCAAGAAGATCTTGCAAAATGAGACCAAGTTAAAATATCATGACCTAAAAAAGTGAAAATAGGCCACTGCATCAACAGCTTTTTCTTGAGTTCACATTGTGTTCCCAATTGAATGAAATAACTAGTGACTTGAAGAAGTTTTGCAACAAGGGCTCATAATACAAGAAGGAATGGAATTGATTGAGCTAGTTTCGGCTACAGCTACATATACACACCAACAGCTGGGTCCCAACCCAATCCGGCTGATCTCAATGACTGGATTGCGATCAATTTTTTCATTGTATTTTTATCAGCTGAGCTTAGTTGGACCCAGCCCATATCATTCAGTTCTGGCACCTTATGACATAAGGAGGGTAAAGGGGAAGAGGAACTCAGCAGACCACCCATGACAGAAGGTTTCCCCAGTGGAAGAAAGAAAAAAATATTGAACCAGGTGAGACATTCAAGTTACCTTTTCTTGTTTTCTAAATCACTAAATTATGAAATTAATTCTTTTAAATGATAGATGTCCATTTTTTAATAGATTTTTTGGTTGATCCAACACAAACAATCCTGATAGAATGAACCTGGATACCATTGTATGGAAATAACAGCGGAAGTATAAATGATAGCCTACAACTTATTGTTGCCTACAATAATGACCATATACAACAGGAATGACAATCGTTATTTGGTTTTATCATATATATACACAAAACTCAATTGACTTTTTTGTCTTGACTAAAAATTAGCATCTCATATTGTTCATTTCTTTCATCAAGAAAAAGAAACTTACATCTTCTAACGTTGTCATAGTGATATGACCAACAACCAACAATTCTGAATATTTCTCATTCAAGCATCAAAATGGTATACAACGGGCTTACATAAACAGCACATAGCAAGCTGGAAAGATACCTTTTCTACAGAAAATTGTCATTACCAGCTTCAGCATCAACCATTAAAGGTAACTTTGAGGAGAAGAACATACCTCATTTCTTATGAAGAAGCAGTAGAAATCAACAGACCCCAAAGACCCAACAGAATAGACGCACTGCAAAGTCGAGGTACATAATCGTTACATAAATGATCAGCAAACACTCTCATAAAGAAATTTTGAGTTGAGGAACAGACGAGATGAAAAATAACCAGGAACAAAACAAGGAACCGAGAAATCCCCACAGAAGAAACATTCTAACGATGACACAATTACCCAGAAAGCCTGATCAATACATACTGGAACGAAAGAGACAAGATTAAACCTCGAGAACTAATCTGCTACTGAGAGACGTAAACACCACCACCACTAGATTGAGAACAAGGCGGTAAAAAGTTCTCACCGACGCCCAGAGCCAGAGCGGGAAGGATAAACCGCGGAACGCTGGAGGAATCGCGTGAGAGAACAATCGAAGTATCCCCGCCCCTTCCGGCGGCGACGAGATGAGCAAGCAGGAGCGGGTAGGCCGGCGATCCGACGGCGGCGCGGCGGTACGGGGCCACCGGAGCCTGGTGGATTGGGTCGGGATGGGGATTGGGGTTAGGGTTTGGGCCGTGGTGTCGAGGGAGCTCGGCGGCGGGCACGGGCGCCGCGATCGAAGCCGAGGAGAGAGAGCCGCTTGGGGTCGCCCATGGGCCGATCCGTGGGCCTCCTATTTATAGCACTTCACGGACCCAAACCGGTCTGGTGGGAGTAATTGGTTCGATCCCGGTTCGAGTCGAACCCAGCCCATTATTCTTGCGTGACTCACGTTGATCTCCCTTTGCTCCACTTTGGTCTTTATAGAACAATTAAGGATCGAGAATAATTTTCTGCAATCTTTCTTTCATTTTTTTGGTGGAACTGAAAACGAATCAAATCTTTATTTTCCTTTATATTTTCTGTGTGCCACAAGAACTCCAATCTCTTTTATTTTCTGAATTCTATGATCATTGTGAGGTGATAAATAAGCATTGTATTGGGATCACAAGGAAAAGTTGATGATCTCTAGACTAAGGTTCCATTCCAGTAAGATGAGTTCAACAAAGCCAATCATAGCAGTTCCCTTCTCAAAGGAATTATGATGAGCTGCACCAGAAAATGGCATGCAGAGATGTTAACATTCAGCAAGTTCTATATCTGCCAATCTTGTGATGATTCCAAAAGTGAAGGGCTCAGAAGCTGGTAAAGGGAACTATAGTAGAATAAAGGAAATGAAACAAAATTAAAAGGTGGGAAAGAAGATTCAAGAAAGGGATTTTGGAGGAAGCAGAGCTGAATAAAGCAGTTTGATGTAAAAAGATGCAGAGATGAAAAGAGAAGAGCACTAATCCTCAAGGGTAACATGTCAATGGGGATTGGTGAAACAGCCTGTTCTGATACAATTCCACCTTAAAGGTTTCATGTCGGCTTCCCCAGACATGTTCAAGGATCTCATGCTGTTCTACAGAAAAAGTGGCTTGTGATGGAGGATGTTGCTCAGCAAAAGAACAATGAATCCCATGGACCATGGCATTCACCTTTTGTTTTACCCTTTGTTCAGTGAAGAACCGGTAATGATCTTTGAATACAGAGCTCAAACACTCGATAAGAGTGTCCTCAAACAGACGTTTATGTTTCCGAGGAAGGAAGGAAGGAAGGAAGGAAGGAAGGCTCTGAAACCTTCAAAGCCTGATCTAAGCTCGAGCAGCATTGCCAGTAGCCGACCAAGATAGTGCAACGAATCATAGGATGCTTGAAGTAGGAGAGATGCACCGAGTAAAGTCCCATCGCACATGAATGATGCATTATTATTTTCTTGCTGACAATAAGATAATGTGCATGAAGAGCTTCCCAGTGACGTTGATGACTGCAGGTTCTCATCGGACTCATTGCACGCCCGAAGTTGCTGCCAAATCGTCGACATCTGATTTCCTCGGCGAGAGGAATGGAATGTTGAGGGTATGCTGTGGGGACTTTGGCCACTCTCAAGCTGTTACGTGTTTGTGTCATTTGTTTTCCTGTAAGGGTGTATTGTTAGCAAGCTTTCTTTATGTTCCTCGACGCCATAATGAGGGGGACTGTTGCTGCTGCTTCCTCTCTCTCTCTCTCTCTCTCTCTCTCACCGAGTGCCTCCCTTCTCTGACACAGCAGTCGTCTCTTTCTCTGTCTCATCACTCTCTCCATCTATGGCGTAAGCTTGATTCCTGATAGTGCAAGCAAAGCAAACACCCCACTTTCTTTTTGTTTGGTCACAGCCTCCCTTAAACTTTCTCGGTTTTCCTTTGTCCTGTAAAATTCTACCTTCCCTTTCTTGTTCCAACATTTGTGCTCCCTCACTACTGCTGTAAGACTCTTATTGTCTCACACCACAGCCCTTCTACCAAATCGCTTTATTTCCTCTCTCTGGGATTTCTTCCACCCTTTGGCCTTTATTTGTTTTGCCTTCCTTCTTCGGTCCAAGTTCCTCTTGATGCTCAATTCTCGCAATGGAAAGAACAACGAAGCATACACTGTACCTTCTTATGGGATAAAATCCATGCAGATTTTCTCTCACCTTCCATGCCTGCAGCCGAGAGCGAGGATGGTGGGATTTGCTCTGTCCCAGGTTGTCAACCATTCTGCGCTTCTGCATGACTCCAGGTATCATGGAGTACCTCTTCTTGCTCTCTTCAGCTGTCCTTGGAGACAATGAAGAGGTTCTAGGAAGAAGACCTTTGGCACTGTTGTTGTTTTCTTTCTCACAGCCCATAGGAACTAATTGAGTTGTCTTTTGTATGAGATTTGAGGACTTCACCTTCTTAGAAAGAGTGGCAATTACCGGTCTACAGATCATAATGAATGCTTGGTCTTATGGAGACTCCAAAGTTCTTCCTCCTCCTCCTCCTCCTCCTTCGTACAAGGAAAAACTTCAGGGCAGTCATTCGGAACAAATTCTTCGAGTCTTCTTCTCCCCCTCGTTAAACTGCTAATCTTACTTACCTTCCTCGACTTTCTTCTCAACGCATTTACATCGAGAAAAGATTCAAGCATCTCTTCCATTGTTAGTGTCTCCGATCTTCATCCACACTTGGGTCCTCACCCCAAGGAGTGTCAGGATAAGGATCACCAGAACCTGAGGGTTTTGATTTCTGCAAAAGCCAAAGTGATCCATTAGTATCTTAGTTGGATTTCCAAGACATACCCGAAGCCATAGCTTATGTTTTGAGCCTTGAGGGTGGTCTAGTCTAGCTCTCAGAAAGAAAGAAGAAAAAAAGATCAATCTTTCTTGTCCATTGTCCTTTTCCTTCTGGTGTTCAGGTCAAGAAGAGCACTTCAAATAAAGAAAGAGAACAAAGATTGAGAGAGAATGGATGTTTCTGGTCGTGAAGAAGAGATGCCAACACCAATGGCCAGTGCATGTGTTGGTGATCATGGCCACAACAGCAGCATCCATGACACCCCTCCTATCCACCACTCCACCAATGGGCCTCTTCCTCCCCTCTCCATTGTCACCACAGAGGACCACCATCACCATGGCAAGAAAGGGGTGGTGGTGAAGTACAGGGAGTGCCACAAGAACCACGCAGCTTCCATCGGTGGGAGTGCTACTGATGGCTGTGGTGAGTTCATGCCAAGTGGGGAGGAAGGAACTCCAGAGGCCTTGAAGTGCTCTGCCTGCGGCTGCCACAGGAACTTCCACAGGAAAGAGACAGAAGGCGAGCCCTCGTGTGACTGCTTCCACCCCTTTAGGGGGAGGAAGGTGATGATGGGTCAGAAGGGCTTCCTCGTCTCAGGATCAGATGCATTTGGCTACAGCCCTGCAAGCAACAGCCTCGTTCCAAGGGTGGTGATGCCACTGGGAGCCATGCAGACCTCCGAGTCTGACGAGATGGAAGGAGTTGGCGGGATGGTGCCGATGCCTGCCATGGTGAAGAAGAGGTTCAGAACTAGGTTTACCACAGAGCAGAAGGAGAAGATGCTGAGCTTTGCTGAGAAGGTGGGATGGAGGCTTCAGAAGCAGGAGGAGAGTGTGGTGCAGCAGTTCTGCCAGGAGACTGGGGTGAAGAGGAGAGTCCTCAAGGTGTGGATGCACAACAACAAGCACAATTTGGCAGGGAAGATCTCTCTCCAGCTTGAATGACCACTTCATTCTGCCATTCTCACTGTCATTTAGTGTTTCCATAGCAAATGCTCATCCTACAAGTTTTGAGTTTGGTGGTCGCATGTCATAACTATTTTCTCATGTCACTCATGAGGTGATGAAGGAGGATAGGAAGCTTGGTGGATTGAAACCATGAACTTTTTCTTCTACAGAGTTCTCCAAGCTTAGGTGTTGATCACTTCAATGTCATTCCAGGACTATGCTTTCAGGTGTTTCAGACAGCTGACAAGGAAGACATCCCTTGAATTGTTATCAATCACTGCCTCTTTCTTTCAGATGGCTGTATGACTTCTCTTTGACCTTCTCTTTTCATTCTCAAGAACTGGTTTGTGTTTTCTTGATCCTTCATATAAGAACTTTGAATATGAACAACATGTCATAATTGGCAGATCAATTGGCAAACCATCAAAATATACTTAGTTGTACATATATAAACACAAATACATATATACATATATACATACATACAGAGAGAGAGAGAGAGAGAGAGAGAGAGATGCTATTTATACTTTAAAATAGAGGACAAGTAGATCATATATTTTATCATCAAGAAGATGATCAAAATGAGGACCAGAGCTGGCTCTGCAAAAAAGATTGAATTAATACATTACCATGTTTCCTTAAGGTCACTATGATCTCCACCTTTGTTTGTCAAGTAGGTCACTATCCTACTATCATGGTTGAAAGCACTCCCCCACTGAGTTCAGCAAATACATGTGGATCCAATTGCAGAAGGCAAGGATGTAGTCATCCATGCAATTTATTATTTTTGGCTAAGAAAACTGACCAGAGAAGCCAACTATCAAACATTATATTCCCATTGAAGTGTAGAAACTTGGGCACAACATACATGCATATCATATTTCCCTTTGAGTAAGACAATAAATATATTATTTCACCATTGATATTTGAACTACCAACCTTTAGAAGACATTGCTGTCACCATATAGTCAGTCTTTTGTCATTAAACATTGCCAAGGCAATAGCATTTACTAGTTTGGTGCCATCTTCCTGAACTGACTGTATGTTCAGTTTCCTCATGAGTTGGTTCTGAACAATGTACAGTGCAGTGAAGTGCATGGGATAAAGTTCATGTGATATTAGTAAAGCTTTCTTTATTCTCAACTGAAGCTGTGAGTGCTCACCAACATTATCTCCCTAAAAGAGATGTTTTTACAGCATCCCCTACTAGACACTACTATGCTTCTCCTATGTTGTGGGAACAGATTGCAGGTTTCACTGCCCATAGGCTGGTAAAGTACTGGAAACTTACCACAGATGGGAACCAAAACAGCAGGTCAACTCATTTAGTGGCATTTATGATAAGGGTATAAGGAGCATCACTGCTCCATTGGAGAGTAGTGCTCCCTGGTTAGCAATCACATGCTTTGACCCTGAACATAAATATTTGTCTAGCACTGGAAGGTCTATTATACCATAGAAATAGAAGGATGTGCAATGTTCTCAAAGATTTGGGCAATCAGTGTCCTCAAAGTATAAAAGTTGCTTGAGACAGTACATTACCATATGAACTAGTCTGAAGCACGTCTACAGTGTGCTGGCATTGCATCAAGGCATCAAGGTAGGACCTTTGTGGTGCGCAAATGACTGATTTAGCAAAGAAGTGTAGTTTTGCTAGGTCTCCTTTATTCTCTAAATGTGGTCAGCATAAAAAATAGGATGATAATGATGAGTGGTTGGGGTGATCACTACTAACAAAGGATAAATGGTGATGACCATGGAAATGTTTAATGACAAAGAAAGACATTTATATGATTACATATAAATGGTGTAATGTATCTGTACTTGAAGGAATTAGCATACTTCAACAAAAGCTCAATCGTGGAATTTCTCAGTGGAATGCAATCTATCAGCTAAAGGTACTGGTTTAGATTTGTCAAATGAATTACTGAGCATCATACATTTCTTCACTTCTTTTTCTAGCTGGGCGAAAGTTTGGTAAATGGCACAGCTTACTGCATGAAATGGAAGGGACACATCTTGTGTGATACAGTCCAATGAGCTTGCGACAGAAAAGCTAGTTACTGGCAGAGTATGTCTGGAATAAGTAAGACAAAATCTTCTTATAGTCACCCATTTGTAACCCGGTGTTAGGATCAACAAGATATGGTACCTGCAACAGATAAATGCCACACAATTGATGTTAGGATCAATTACATTAGATGTTGCAATAGCATGACAACAAAAATATCTCAATGAAACTTGTCATTGCCAAGCAATCCTACCAACGGATCCAGCAGTTGTCATTGCCATTATTTTCGAAGTCCCATTCCTAGATACCAATCCGTGCCATCATATTCTTCTATCTATGATCTCATTGCATTACTAGCCTATATCTCCAGATAATCACATACTAAGAGAAACCCATAATTGGTTATCAGCTAAAAGCCTACTTGCTTTATAAAAAAATAAATTTCTCATGATAAAATAGAAAACAATTGAAGTATACAAGAAGGTAAACAAGTATTACAAAGGATTATTGGGCTATGCTTGTTAATTATGTGATATTACCTAGACCCATAAATACTTCCTACTGTGTCAAGAGGATTAGCAAGGAAGAACAGGTGCCATGTGGCCTCTGTAATACGAAAATGGGTTCTTGTGCTGACATAGCAAACTCTTTTTCTAATAAGTGCATGATTTCCCAGTAAGAAGTTGTTTACTTGGCTATCTAGAATAGAGAAAATTGTGCTTAAAAATTCAGTCGATATGCAAGCACAACATCTTTCTGTGTATATTTAGATATCTTCTTTTGTTTTTAATGCAAATCGATCTTTACACCTTGATGGCTCACCTTGTTCGAACCAGATGTCTCAAAAAGCAACTTGGATTTTGTTGAGCCCTCTCCAACATTTTGGAGAATGTATGGAAGTTCCAACTCACAAAGCGCTTCTCGAACAATCCTAGAATACTACATATAAAAAGAAGATTGAGGATGGAAAAGACATCAAAAGAACATTTGTAGAAGGAAAGTATTGCATACCACACTGTTCTCATATGAATAAAGTTCTAGCTTCATCGAAGGTTCCTTTCCTGCATTTTTCCACAATGTCATGCCTCTACCGGCCCGTAGAAGAGTAGGTACCCATCCTGTGAACACTGTGCTGCTCCTCCCATAGGTGGGTAAGATTTCAATTTATGAAATTAGACATTCTAGAAATTGGTGTCTTATTTGGCAATATATTCTCAAGTAAAATGATTCGACAGTCCTGCACCAACAATGCAGCAATGATGGCAGTGAAGAATTCTTAACTACTTAGATGTTGAAGTTCACTTGATACACATGTATATCATCATCGTCACATAAGCCTTTTTAACATCAAGATGAAGTCGGTACATGAAGCCTGAAAATTGTCAAGATGTTGAAGTTACTTGAAGTTCCTATGTAGTGACTCATGTCATAGGTTTAGCCAGTCTTCATTAATTTAAATTATCATATGGTCTTCAACTAAATGAAACAAGAAAAGTAACATTATACAGAGAGACAACCTAAGAAGACATGTAATGGTGATTATCACAGAAAAGAAAACCATTGAACTACATAATGAAAGAATTAGACAACAGTTAATATAAATTATTAAGAAATATTCAAGGAATTTTCAGGAAAAATTATACCTCATGGAATTAAAGAGGAATTGACTGTGATTAATAACTAATTAGTAACTCATATTATCAACAACATAATGACAAATTCTGATATTAAATGGTTCTAGAAGTATGTTCTACAAGCATGCTAATAGATAATGCAGGTAAACAGAATCGTACATTCAGAATGATCTAATTTAAATCCAAAGAACAGGATTCCTGGTCTGCTACCTTATATTAAAACCTAGGAACAATCATCAAGAGACATCTTTGCAGAAATGAAAAGCGACATATTCAAACCTGAAAATCTTGAGATAATATATACAGCTCTAAAAGAAGAGTCTTGTAGTGCTCTTGACATGGATATAATTTTGCTAATATAACAAGAAGTGGAAAATATGACACAAATAGGACTACTGTCAAAATACTGATTCCTCAATGGGACACCAAATTCAACTTACGCATGGATGCTTGCATGGCATGTGTATAAAGTTACCAGGATTCTGTAACATCCAACCAGCATCTTAAAGAAGTTCCAAACTCTTTGGAACTACGTTCAACAAGGCCAATATCAATTTCAAGAGACTTAAACTAATCCGACTAAGTAAACCTGTAACTAAATGATCTTCTCAAGTTGGACACAAGATCAACTTCTTTTATATTACATATGCCAGCTATTGCCTACTTTAGTCACATTTCTAGTCATAGTACTTCTTTGAAAGTAATTGAACATTTTTAATGCTTGAACTAATACTCTTCAACATTCAAGCATCACTACATGTTATGTTATCCCTCAGAAATCAATACTAAGAGGCCAGGTGTTAGATTCCCAAACTCCCCTCCCGCCGAAAACAAAAAAAAGCAAAATATAACAAAACAAAATGAAATGTCAGTATCTAGATGAACAAAACTTCAAAATGACTGATAAAAATTACCTCTCCAAGAGACCAAAAGATGGGTTCCTCCCTTGACCATACTGCCTGAATAGGTACTTCACTATATCATCTATACATGTACAAATTACATGTTATAAGGAGGTTTTCAGACATCAATAAAGTTTACAAGCAAGATCACAGTAACATGCAGAAAGATAAATATTCGCATGATTCTAGAAGTAGCAAATCACAAATATGATATCCACCTTCAAAGCTCAGTTTAACATCAATAGCAAATCACAAATATGATATCCACCTTTAAAGGGAATCAAAATCCCCTATATGGAAAGATTTGAAATTCTACCTAGTGAGCTGGAAGTGTGATTTCAGATCTCATTCCTAAAAATTCTAGTGGATTTCAAATTAAATTCTGATTTTAATTCTGATGCCAACTGTTATGGAGAAGACAATCGAGAAATACCAAACTAAATACTCTGGTTTAAAAATTTTCACCTATAAGTTCTGTATTCATGTGCAATAACTGAAAGCATACTACAGCATGATGACTTACTGCTTTCGTACATTGAAACACCAGTATTCAAATCCACAAGAAAAGGAAACCTGCATAAAAGCATTTTTCAAGTAAAAATGAGATTCTAATAAACCCCACATAATAAAAGCATCACAACAAGAAAAACTTCACATCACAGAAATATATTCTTTCAATTAATAACTAAATGGCACGTCTCAGACCAATTCATTGAAATTATGCATATGCAAATGTCCAAAAAAAGAAATAGAAAATAACATAAGCTGCAATATTTATAAATGAATATGTCATATTAACATCAAACATGATAATGGATGACAATTATAATTATGGAAGTGCTATTACTCAAAGTATTTGATTAAAGACAGTGAATGTAATACTTACTGTTCTTTCCCACCAATACTCCGGACCAATTCTCTATGGCGTAGTGATCCTTTTGGGCAAGGGTAAACCTGAAAACTGATCCAAATATGACAAACTGACATATGAAAGTACTTATCAAAAAAGAGAACATGTTAAAGTACAATATCATGGATGGACCTGAAATTGAATCGATGTATTATTTCTAATAACTCAGAGAAAATTTTACTGGAAACCAATTAAATCTATGTGGGAGATTAAATGATCACTAATTCCTATTCATTTATATCATCAAATTATGTTTCTTAAGCATGAAAGAAAGTAGGCCTTTGGATGCCTTCATTGCCAACCTTCACACAAAATTTCAGATAAATGTGTATACGGACTCACAGGGTTAAGGGTAATAATAATATAAGTATCACTTTTTAGTACCTCTACCGTGAGATCCAGCTCAGTCATTGCTTCTCTGACCCTCCTACAAAAAGGGCATGCCTCTGTTGAAAAATAATATTAAGAACATTCCACTTGTGAATCAATGCTATTCTGAAAAAAAGTGTCGCAAGTCGCAACACAATCAACATAAATATCATAGTGAATGAATCATTTTCTTAATAAGGTAAGAATTTTAAGTTGAGAAATACAACTTCACAGGTACACATTTCATGTGTTGCCCTAAGTCAAACAAAAAAATGTCTTTTCGATTTATTTGATGAAAAACAAGCAAACATGACCTCTAGCATGTAAATGACATGAATGACCTGGATTAGACTAAATTCTCCAATAAAGCCTCTTTAATTTTAAGTTGATGTAACTAATAAAGGCACCATGATGTTTTATAAGCCTCCCGATGGGTTTTAGAAAAGAAAAAGGAAAGAGAAGTACATCTACTAAAGATGTAAGTTCTCTCACCATATTAACCAAAAAGGATTAATAACCTATGATCAATTTTTTCGTGAACAAACAAGACAATAGGATGAACCCAGTGCACGAGGATCTCGTAAATGGGGTCTTGGGAGAATCAATATATGCAACCTTACTTTACTTTATATTTACTTTATAATTAGAGATATTGTTTCTGAGACGTGAATACTGATAACCCATATTGTAAAAAACAATATTACCATTGTACCAAGACAAAGAGACTCATAATTCTTTACAAGTTTGTCAAATGAATTTCATGTGCTAAGTAGGAGTTCCAAGTAATGATTCTTAATCTACTTTGTTCTTAAGTATTAACGAAGTTATAGTGGGTTGTTACTTAATTTGGCTGGTTTTATATGATCACTTAAAAGCATATCTAAAGCTAGATCCAATCACTTGTAGACTGATTGTTTATCATAATTAAACATGAGAATCCCTCTGTAGATGTAAGAAGAAGCTTACCAAATTCATATATTTGCAAGTATGGTTGTGGACTTGTTGCAGATTCCAGGTTGTTTATGTTGTTTAATGATTTTGAACCCCATGGAGATCTAGCTAAACTAGATAGTGAAGATGTTGCAACCTGTGAGATAAAACAGGTACTACAATAAAAAATAAGACACGTGCTACAATCAAAAGGATTACATTCTCATATTACAAAAAAATTGTATATGTCCTTTATCCTAATAGTTGTTCGCTGATTGGTTAAGTGCATCATGTAGCTAGCAACTAATTCAGATGAAGAATGATGCATATTGTATACTCATAGCAGTTAGTAGTAAAAAAATATAAGATTAGGATGTATCCTACCTCTAGAAATTCATTTCGTTCTTGAGACGGATCTCCTCCCTGTTGCCAAGAAAAAGATCAAAACACATCAATCATATCCATAGAGCGGCTTAAAACTTTAATGGGTTCCTCAAGCACAACAAATAAAGCTAACTAAGGGAAACATTATCAGTCTAATTATTTGTTGAAATTATCTGGCAAGCATGGTATTATTACAAGTAAAATATTCTCTATGCATGAAAAAGCTTGTCAATAATAGATTTGAGATCATCTGTGTTGAACTGTCAGGTCAAGGTGCATTTCAAATGGAATGGATCCATTTTGAATCCAGAGGTCCAAGGGCAAGACCTGGGAATTAAAGGGTAGAAACCAAAGAAGGTACCAAATACACAAGGTCCTGACCCTCATATTTCAACCTTCTGTAATTTTGTAAGATGGTTTTATTTTACTCTCTAAAAGACAAACTTCTGCCATATGGCTGCAAACGTCGATACGTAACAAGAAAAAAGGCAGTTTAAGTGTCTACATTATCCAAAACATTTGGTAATTGAATCCGAACTTTAGGAAATGAATCGATGTGAGATAACTCTTGTTCCCATTTCATGGTCCATTTGGTTCAGAAGCAGGAGGAAAGTATAAAAGACACAAAAGGTCACAATGAAATGTGCTATTCGTAGGGTTCATCAATTTAGTTCTAACAAGATAGCCGCTTTTTAGTTTGAATCCAGGTTTCCAATCTACCAAAATCACTAATATCCTCACCAGATATTCTCATTTGAATTTTTTGCAGAGAGAGAGTAACCCACTCAAATTATATGATCAACCTTTCTTTCACATAAATATAACGATTTGATTATTGCTTCCCTAAAGCAGGTTTCATCAAAATTTCGACTTTGATGATATCTGGGTCCTCCGGCACTAGGGGTCCAGTTTCTAATCCAGAGAAATGAAGAAGGTGAAAATTAATTTGATTTGATGTTTACGAGGCACATGGATTAGAACAAACAATCCTATTGAGAATAACCCTAACACTGAAAGCACGAACTAAGATTCGGAAAACTAGAACAACCACTTCTTTAAAGTCCTAGAACGTAGTACAATCAGAATCAAGAACAGAAATGCCAAAGAGGAGAGAGTAATTCTTACACCAAAAAACTTGAGAAGAGGGCAGAGCAGGGACAAGAAACTAGTAGAAGGGCTTCCGGAACCAACTCTGCTTTCCACGGCAGGATCTCCGTCTGTCCCTGGAGGCCGCGCGTTCCATCTGCTTCTTGAGGAGGACGACGAGGGGGGCAAGCTTCCGCTGCTATAGGATCTCCACGGTCGGCATGGGGAACCTCGCTCGACGATTGAAGCCCTGCTGCGTCGGACCACCAGGCGATTGGGTTGGCCATGGAAGGATCGCAGGGGGTAGAACGGGCGGCCGCATGCCACGGATAACATGATGGTCTGTGCCTTCGAACGCCACCAGAGGGCCGCGTGCAGACCCTTGATTTTGTACGCGTGATTCTTATCTGACCGTTAGATTCTAAATCAACGGATGTGATGTCCGGAGAGAGTACGTTATGGATGATGGGATATCTGCGAAGTTCCTTCCTCGTGCCACTTAGTATGGCTTCTTCCTTCCATTGCTCTCCCATGGATTCCAAAGCTTTGCTCGCCGCCAACTCCAAACCCCCCGTCTTCTTTCCTGCAGCCGTCGCCAAAGCCTCACCGAACCCTCCCCCCGATGCCTTCCGCTCCAAGCCCCGACAGCCTCCGGCCGTCCGAGCCCTCAAAGCCCCCAAATTTGCCGAAGCGGACGCCTTCCCGGACTCGCTCCCCCTCCATTCGAAGAACCCCCACGCCATCTACAAGGACATCCAGCGCTTCGCCCGCCTCGGCCAGCTGAAGAAGGCCCTCACCATCCTCGACTACCTCGAGCACCGCGGCGTCCCCGTGAACACCACCACCTTCTCCGCCCTCCTCGCCGCCTGCTCCCGCCTCAAGGCCCTCGCTTTCGGCCGCCAAATCCATGTCCACTTGAGGATACACGGGCTCGAGAGCAATGAGTTCCTCCTCGCCAAGCTCGTCGAGATGTACGCCTCTTGCGGGTCGCCGGACGACGCAAGGCGGGTGTTCGCGGAGCTCTCTCCCAAGAGCGTGTACCCGTGGAACGCGCTGCTCAAGGGGAACGTCGCCGGCGGCCCCCGGTGGGGCCACGCGCCGTTGGCTGTCTTCTCGGAGATGCGGGGAATGGGAGTGGATGCGAACGAGTACACGTTCTCGTGCCTGCTCAAGAGCTTTGCGGGCTCGCCGGCCTTCGCTCAGGGCACAAAGGCGCACGCTCTCCTGATCAAGAATGGATTTGCAAGTGCTTCTGTGCTCTTACAGACCTGTTTGATTGACATGTACTTCAAATGTGGTAAGACTCACATGGCGATGAAGGTCTTCGATGAAATTACCGAGAGAGACATTGTTCTTTGGGGAGCGGTGATAGCAGGCTTTGCGCACAATGGGTTGAGATGGGAGGCTTTGAAGTACTTGAGATGGATGGGAAGTGAAGGGATAGAGCCCAATTCGGTAATAGTAACATCAATTCTTCCAGTGATTGGAGAGCTCGCAGAACGGCATTTAGGCCGTGAGATTCATGCTTTTGTGTTAAAGAGGTTCAGGAACTATGACAAAATGGTATTTGTTCAATCAGGATTGATTGATATGTACTGCAAATGCAGGGATATGGTGTCGGGGAGGCGGGTTTTCTATGGGTCTAATGAGCGGAATGCAGTGTCATGGACTGCTCTGATGTCAGGATATGCATCAAACGGCAGGTTTGAACAGTCTCTGAGATCAGTTGTTTGGATGCAGCAGGAAGGAATCAAGCCAGATGTTGTCTCGATTGCAACAGCTGTCCCTGTTTGTGCCCAACTGAAGGCATTGAGACAAGGGAAGGAGTTACATGCTTATGCTGTGAAAAATTGGTTCTTACCAAATGTCTCCATGTCCACTTCATTGATGACCATGTATTCAGCATGTGGAAACTTGGAGTATTCCTGCAGATTGTTCGATATGATGGAGAAAAAGAATGTCCTTGCTTGGACAGCCTTGGTTGATTCATACCTGAAGAATGGCTGCCCTTATGATGCATTGCATGTGTTTCGATCCATGCTCCAAGCTAACCGGAGGCCAGATGTTGTTGCATTAGCTAGGATTTTGAACACTTGCGGTGAGATAGGGGCATTAAAACTTGGGAGGGAAGCACATGGTCAACTGTTGAAAATGAAACTAGAGTCAGCACCTATTGCTATAGCAGAAGTAGTGAAAATGTATGGCAAATGCAGAGATGTTGAGACGGCAAGGAAGGTGTACGATAGGACCGAGACTAAAGGATCTCTAAGTTGTACATCTATTATAGAAGCTTATGGTTTTAACTCTCAGTACAAAGAAGCTATTTATCTCTTTAATTCAATGCTATTGAATGGTTTTGTTCCAAACCATTTCATGTTTGATGCAATCTTGAGAATTTATGAGAGAGCAGAGTCGGTTGATGCAGCTCTCAGAATATTTAATATGATGATCCAAGAGTATGATCTGAAGGCCTCCGAAGAAAATTATGACTGCATTATCAACCTTCTTACTCGTGTAGGTCGGATCAATGAAGCACAGAAGTTTCTCTATTTAAGATCCATGTTGCTCTCTGTATGATGTGCATGTCACTTGATTTCTGGCTGGGGGTGCTTCCCTTGATATGGTCTATTTTCTGGAATCTGAACATTGAGTTGTTGATTTGGATCAGAGGGAACAGGTTCTTCAGATATCTAATCATTAGCAGCTGAACTGGCTGATACTTGAAAATGTTGTCCAATCTCTCAAGAACTTATTACTGTTCTATATGTTCATTGCAGCTGATGGATCCAGGGAGGGGAGGATCATTCCCGTTATGCCTAACAACATAAAGGATCCAAGTTTGCTGTGATTTAGTTTTTTATTTTTTTGTTTAAAAATACCAGTTCTCCGGGAGCGTAGGGGAAACAATGTACATACTAGACAACTGAATTCCAAGTCTGAACTCCATCCCTAGCTGTTGAATTCTTCTTTTATTATTTGACACTACCAAGAATAGCATCACTGTAAGTTTTTCATCCTACTTTTTGATTTGAGTACAGCTTATCGGATGGCTAAGCAGGCTTAAACTGCTAAAACAGATTGTTCCTTCACTTTGATGTTTTGTATAATGATCTCGTTAGGTTGTTCTGATACAACCTGAAAGTTTGAACATATCTTTCTATTTTTGAAAACAAAAGGATGAAGCACCCATTTTTCTGACAATTTCTGATCTCTCTAACTCTTTTCCTGTATCAGCTGCATTAGCATATATTATCTATAAACCAAAATCTTTGTGAAGATATTATAGTGATCAATGTATTGTGTCTACAGTTTAAGTAATCAAAGGAACTAAATCATTTTTAGAACTAAAGCCTACTGCAATGCGATACATTTTGCAAGTAATAAAAAGAATCATGTCTATGATTCATGGTTGTAGAGATAAGAGGAAATATTTTCTTATCAATCAGAAAATATTTTTTCTCTCATATATTGTGATGGTAGCCCATACAAAAGCGAAAAGCATTTGAGTGGGAACAGATGTTACACGAACCAGGACTTAGAATAAGAATTTTTAATTATGCCCAGCCTTAGCATTTGGATTTGTTGAAAATTTTGGAAGAGTTGATGATGAAATTTATGCAGAATATTATGTAGCTCCCCTTAAAGAATAATGATGAATTGATGATAACAAAAATGATACATTGATAATTATGTCAATTTTTTATATATCTATACAAAGATGACTTGATTAGAATATAAAATTCTTGACAAAATTATGCAACAATCCTTTCTTTAGGTCTAACTATTTCTTTTTTTTTAATCCTTGAGAGGCAATTCAAGTAATGAGCGTGAATCTTTAATGACCACAATCAGAGGCCTTCCTGTATCTCAAAGCAGCTGATGACTCCATTGCCTATAGAAATCTTGGCCTGCACATTTGGCTTTCAGCATTTTGCACTGTATTTTGGTTCTTGTTATCAATCTGTAATATACTAATATGACAAGTTCATTGTTTGGTTAAATGCTTCATACTTCTTGCATGCCTGATTTCTGTTTACATTGTCTTAATCTGTTGTAATTTTGTTCTCAGTGAGTATTAGCCTTAGAGAGGCAAAGACTGTCAGATCATGAAGAGGATCTCTTTGCTGCAGCAGCAGCTGCTGCTGGTTTCCATGTGATGAACAAAGAGAGAAGCCAGAATGCGTCAGGTTTTACGACAATGCTGTCGATGTACAGCCTAATAATTGCTCATCATGTCCCTATTCTCAAGTCAATTTGCTGGCCTGCCTGCTGTAGAGTTTGCATCATTTCTCCTCTCTCCTCTCTTCTCAGATTTGAAGCTTGGTTGGAGTCTGACCAGACCTTGAGCTGCAAGAGGTGAAACCATGTTGCTAAGTTGCTTATCTTTATGGAGCTATGGCTTGCAAGGAAGCATGCAAAGCTATTACAGATCTGTGAAAGTGTACCTACCACACTGTTCATCTCCTGGTGCTGCTGCTGCTGCAGCTACTACTGCTGAAATCTGAGGCACCAGTTACATTTGGGGTGCATGTAGTGGAGGAGCTAAGGAATCCCTTGTGAATGTAGCCAAGATACTTGGCTTTGTTTCAGAGGACAAAAACCTAATTGTGAGTCTTAGTTCTTCATCTTTGGCCATAGAATCTATTATGTTATGGTCATCTTCATGTACTTTGCAATGTTCATGAATGATCTTTGCAATGTGAGGCAAGAGGGAGACTTTTTTCTTGGACTACTTCAATCAAAAGTACAGCATCTTCTCTTATATGCTTTGGACCATTACCCTACTTCTGGTGACAATCCAGTGTAGCCTTCCCTCTGGTTGAAGGACCTGATGTGGTGAGGCTTTCAAACAACAAAAATAAGGAGAAGACAAGAGAGAGAGAGATGGGTGCTGAAAGCTAATTTGCATCTCGACAGCAGTAGGTTTTGAAGCAACAAAAACAAGGAGAAGACAAATATGAGAGAGAGAGAGAGAGAGAGAGAGAGAGAGAGAG